ATTTTTTTTTTGACGACCGACCCCCTTTTTTATAGATAATAATTTTTGTTTTTTTTCATTTACTTCTAATTGATTTTTAATACAGTATTTATAAAAGGCTTTTAGTATTTTTTTGAGAGCTGCAGGAGAGTCCGCGAGCACTACGATGTCGTCCGCATACGCAAGTAAAATAATTTCGTTACGGTGTCCAATCAAAATCCCTCTTACACCTTCTTCTTTCAAAAATTCCTCTAAATCTGATAAGAACAAAGAAAACAAGATCGGACTAGTTTTTTCACCTTGGAGTAAACCTTTAGTTACTTTTACCGGCTTTGAAATACCCTTTTCGCTTTGTACAGTTATAGTTGCTTTTGCATAAAAATCAATTAGAATTTTTGTCACTTTATAACCTAAACCCATTTTATATAACTTCTCCCACAGCAACTTATGGGAAACAGAAGGGAAAGCATTGCTGAAGTCCACGAATAGAGCAAACACCTTACCCCCTTTTGCACTAAGTCTATACTGTATTATCGAGTTCCAAACAAAGATATTGTCGATACAACTTCGATTTTTCCTGAATCCCGACTGAAATTCTGGAAACAGCTTCTCAAGTAAAATTATAAACTTTTAATTAAAAACGACTATGGGGTTTTGTTTGTAAACATAGAAATTAGTTTTTCCCATTGGATTTATTGCAATACGTGCAATTGATTTTTTAAAAAATACGAGGGATATTAAGTTGTGCGCTACGCGGAGAATCACCCACCTACCAAAATTTTTTATATTGCATTTATAGACAGAAAAAATTCAAATAGTAGGCGTTGTCAGGAAAAACTGATAAAATTTACCCCCCTCTATCTCCCCCAAAATTTCAAAAAAGGCAAAAATTTTTTTGGGGATATTTTACTGTCAGGTAGGACAACACTTTCCTCAAGTTCCACTTTTTTTCGAGATATCAATTTTATAACTCAGGACATTACACGTAAAATGCCTCAGTATCTATAATGAACTTCTGATCTTATTGATTATTGTGCAATCTTGTTGTAAGGTTTTTTGCGGCACCGATATCGCAATTCGTAACCAGCTAGTGAGATTTTTCCATATACAGTATCTATAATGAACTACTGATCTTATTGATTATTATTGTGCAATCTTTCGGTAACCTTACCTCGCAAGTTTTCGGTCAGGTGGGACATTTGATGCTTGCAGCAAGTTTGCCGTGCAATGTTGGCAATATTGCGCGGTAAGCTTGACGCAAGGTTGCTGCAAGCTTACGTTCTATCTGGATAATCAAAAGAACTGGGCGCGCATGCCGCTCTAATTGTATACTAGTAACATTTAAATGTCTTTGAAGATTATTATACGAAATAATAGACATACTTTTTCTTAACGTTCTGACGAGGACGGTAGAACCGTCGAATCGTTAAAATAATTATGTTTTAATTTCACCCTTTTGACTTTAAAAGATTGAGATATTCTATTTTATATTCACCAATCGAGTGAGAACTTCATCAACTTATAATATAATTGAAGGTTATTAATTTATGAACATAATTTTTTATATTTTTTAATTATTCTTCAAAATCACGTGTTGTATATTAAATAGGACTCTTTGAGCACCGTCCGACACGATTTTTCACACACGAAAAAATCAATGATTTTCAGAAACTAGGACCAAAAAAAAGATACCCGTGTCTGGCCGTTTTGCTAGATCAGGTCATTTTTTGCTTTTAGGGGTAAAAACAACCCTTAAATGATAGGTGATAGGAATTCTTGTACAAATTAATAATTTTTTATAAAACCTGGTATCTCGGGGTTTTCCGGGTCGCTGATTACGAATCTGATGTCAGATTTTCAAAATTCAAAATGGCGGATCCAACATGGCGGTCGAAATTTATAAAAATTCACCAATTCATTTGAAAGTTGTTACTTAGGGGTTTTTGGGGTCGCTGATTACGAATATGATGTCAGATTTTCAAAATTCAAAATGGCGGATTCTATATGGCGGTCGAAATTTATAAAAGTTCATCGAATTTACTTGAAACTTGTTACTTTAAGGTTTTTGGGGTCGCTGATAACGAATATGATGTCAGATTTTGAAAATTCAAAATGGCGGATCCACTATGGCGGTCGAAATTTATAAATATTAATTATTTTTTATAAAACTTGGTATCTAGGGGTTTTTGGGGTCGCTGAGTACGAATCTGAAGTCAGATTTTTAAAATTCAAAATACATCTAATAATGTGGAAGATTAGAAAACAATATATAAAAAATAAAAATTTCCACATATGTGTTTTTTGTATATTGGACACTTTTTTAATGACAAAACAGGCTTTGTAGTAAGTAAGAATATTTTTATTAGATAACAGTAATAAGCTCAAGTAATATGAATTTAAAGATGTGAAGTGATTGTTTAAAACTGCTGTGCAAAGTAAAAATGTCTGCAATTGTCATTTGTTTTATGTACTATTTTCCGTAACTATGCAACTGAAAATGAACATAATAAACAACTGTCTAATCTTCCACATTATTAGATATATTTTGAATTTTCAAAATCCGACATCATATTCGTTATCAGCGACCCCAAAAACCCCTAAGTAACAACTTTCAAATGAATTGGTGAATTTTTATAAATTTCGACCGCCATATTGGATCCGCCATTTTGAATTTTGAAAATCTGACATCAGATTCGTAATCAGCGACCCGGAAAACCCCGAGATACCAGGTTTCATAAAAAATTATTAATTTGTACAAGATTTCCTATCACCTTTCATTTAAGGGTTGTTTTTACCCCTAAAAGCAAAAAATGACCTGATCTAGCAAAACGGCCAGACACGGGTATCTTTTTTTTGGTCCTTGTTTCTGAAAATCATTGATTTTTTCATGTGTGAAAAAAAAGTTGAATTTTGTCGGATGGTGTTATAAGGGACGTTTCATATGAAAACGACATATAGTGTCATATATGAGATTTTTCTTATATCTTTTAGCCGTTGGGAGACATTTTTATGCTAAATAACGATGTAAATTTTGAATTAAATTTTTAAAATATTTTTAGAGATATTTACATTAAAAAAATATTGTAAAAGTGTTTTCTTTTCTTATAACTTTTGTTCTTTTGATCTTCATAAAAAAAGTTCTGAATGTTTTTTAGTATAAAAATTGTAATATTTAAAAAAAATATTTTTGCAATAAAAAATTGTTAAATTTTTATTAAATTATTTAACCTCTTTGCTGTGAGGAGCAAAATCTTAAATGTGGGTCGAAAATGTTAAGAAACTTTTATAGCACTAAAAGTTTTAAAACTGTGTGTACTTAGGTTTTCGAGGTCGCTGAATACGAATCTGAAGTCCATTTTCAAATATGAAAAATGGCGGATCCAATATGGCAAATATATTTTTCTAAATTCGATGGATTTGCTTGAAACTCGTTATTCGTAGTTTTCAAGGTCGCTGATTAGGAATCTGATATTAGTAATTTCTATTGATTTTTAATGTTCCTATCCGCCATATTGAATACACTATTTTGAAAAACTAACATTAGATTTGAATTCAGCGACTCAAGAACCCCTAAGTAACAAGTTTTAAGTAAATTTTAATGACTTTTAGTTTTCCTGTCCGCCATATTGGATCCGCCATTTTAAATTTTGAAAACTAACTAACTAAATAATCTGTTATTTTTTGTTCTTTTTGTAAAGTTTTTTTGTGTGAATAGACCTATCGCACAGTGAGAGCCGACCTTAGAAAGTACTGCTATATTATACGTTATCACAGTCAAGGGGTTAAAAAATAGATGTTGATTTTGAGTTTTAACATGTTTTCCCTTTTTCTCATCCCTCAAAAAAACATTAAATAAATAAATATAATGAAAACTTCGTTAAATTTTCAGCTTGTGATTATTTTTTGCAACGTATAGATTTATTTAAACTTAAAATCAAATTTTATTTTTTAAATAAATTAATTAAAATTTAACCTTTACGTTAAACACCTCTTTTTTCTGACGTACGTAACACATGGTGCCATATTGACCCCATCGTGAAAAACTGAACAGAACTTCAAAAGTTTTCATTTTTTTTAAGAAATTGGGGATATATTTTTTACCTTTACAATGAAGATAAAACCTTAGCTATATATAAAAATTTTAATTTAAGACAAAAAAAACTGTTCGAATTCCGCCGGGAAATTTTCAAAAATGTAATTTCAAAGTTGTCTGGAGTCAAAATGACACCTGTGTCACGTAAGGGTTAATAATTTTTTTCCTAAATATAATATTTTTATAGTAAAAAATATTCAGAATTTGTTTGTAGGATCAAAAGAACAATAGTTATAAGAAAAAGAAAAAAATTTACAATAATTTTGTAATGCAAATATTTCTAAAAATATTTAAAAAAAATTTTAAGTAGGTATAGTTTTTAAAAACATTTACATGTAATTGAACAATGAAATTTAATATATGAAAAATTTAAATAGTAAAAATAATTTTTCTTTAAATGAGCCCAACAGATAATTACGATTTTGGTCATAAAATTTTTAAGGGAAGTAAGGGAATAATAAACCTCAAAAAAATCTCATATCCCAGACAGAAATCGACGGCAAACTTTAAATATCCAGTTGGGGCTGGCACATGAATTACCAGGAATTAACGAAAATCTTAAATAGAAAATCTGACGACACGGGGAATTGAACTACGGAACCTAGGGCTGCAAAGTCGACGCCACATTCGTTGACCTGAAACCTGCTTATGAGAGGCGAGTGCAAAGATAGCTTATAGAGTAAAACAGGGACCATTTGCCGGGACAACTTCTTTGCCGGTATAAAAATGGTACTGAATGTCGGTACTAGTTTTAATGGTACACAGACGGTACCGGGATGGATAGTTACCGGTTTATCATTGTTGACCGACTTGGTACCCAGCCGGTGGTACCAGCGTTTTTTGACGCAGCTCCTCATATGTAATAAGAACCAAATATTATGTTACCATGTTTGGGTTTTATCTGATATAAATTATATTTATTACGCACCTTTTCTTTTTTCTGCGATCGAAATCACTTTTGCCAGTAATTCCTCCTGCTACTGAATTATTATCTCCATAATCAGAGTCAGTAAATAAACTTAATCCTCCCATACCTGGAAGATCTCCAGGCATAATTGCATCTTTACCCTTTATCTATAAAAAAAATACAGTTATGCGAATTTGATAATAAAATTTTTGATAATAAAATGGTAACAAAATTTTAAATCTGTACAATATTATTTTGAAATAATTAATCAGAGTAGATTAATTTTGTACAAATTTCAATTAAATATGGCTTATTCCCTTCAGAAAATGATTCTCTTCAACTTCACCGTGGGGATTTTTAAACAAGCAAGCAAATTGTATAAACAAATAAATTTTGCAGGTTCTAAATTTTTTTTCTTGAAAATTAATATCTCATCTTTTAGAAAGTACAATTAATAATATTATTTTAATTATTTAAATGTTAATTAATTATTTTTTTCTAGAGGTCTGCATTTCCGTGGATAAACATCCTTAATTGTTTATTAATTTAATAATTAATTTTGAAAATGTTAGATGTATTTTATCGTTTCAACTTATAAATATAATAATATTCGCCATAAATAACTTTTCTTTTAATAAGTAATAATTTTATTTTAGTCATTGCAAGTATATGAGAGATTCTTTTTCAATCGCCCCAGCCCAAAAAGTCAATGTTCTGAGATTGGCTTCATACTTTGGTAAATTGTTGTCCTATATGATAGTAATAAATCCCTAAAATATAAACTCATTAAAAAAATATTTGTAGAAAGTAGAGGGGGTTGAAGTTTTGACGTTAAGGGTAACATTGTCCTTTTCAAATCTGTATAACTATGACAAAAGTTAATGGATTTTAATTTATCTATAATGAATTTTAATGCATTTTTCACGTACTTTTCAAAAATGTATACAAAATTTAAAAAAAAAAATTTTTGACCCCTTTTTTTCAAAATTAACCCTTATTTTTCGATTTTCACCCCTTCGGGTATTTTTTTTATTTTCATTGGAAAGCTGAGGTTTTTTCCCATGAGCTATGTAAATATGAAAATGGGACAACAATAATTTTGTGAGAAACAGAATATTAAAGTAGGCGGTGCCGATAAGGGGTATACCTGTAGATCATCTTTGAGGATTTAGGTAGGCACCGCCTAATTTATTATTATAGTTATACGGATTTGAAAATGACAATGTTACCCTTAACGTCAAAACTTCAACCCCCTCTACTTTCTACAAATATTTTTTTAATGCGTTTATATTTTAGGGATTTATTACTATCATATAGGACAACAATTTACGAAAGTTTGAAGCCAATCCCAGAACATTGACTTTTTGGGCTGGGGCGATTGAAAAAGAATCTCTCATATACATATAAGGCAAAATTCCTTGGATCAGGCTAACTGTAAGATTTTCAGAAATTGTTGTCTGATTGGATAAGACTTTAGAAACGGAGTAGTTTTAAATTAATTCAAAAACTGTGGGATGTGGAGGGGGTTGGATTTTTTAATTTTTGGTGAAAATCTATTCTTCAATTTTCTGTAACTTTTTTTCTTTTTTTACTTTTTGATGATAATAAAAGTTTTTCAAAAAAATCCAAATTTGACCCATTTTTAAAGAAGAATAAAAAAATTCACCTAGTCGGTCGGGCAACTGATATGTCGTGACGCATTTCTATTCATTAAGTGGGGAAACTCGTGTAAATGCACGTTTTTCAGGAATTTAAAAAAACTGGTAAAATTTATTGAATTAAAGTAAAGCATACTTTGATTTTGCGCCGTGCAGCCTACAGGTCACAAATCTCAACTAAAATTAAAAATTAAAATTTTTACCGTTAAAATACACAAATACGCTTTACATGACAAAGAGAAAACTAAAAAAAATTTTTTTGAAAATTTGGGACCGTTTTGAAAAAAAGTCAATTTTTTTAAAAACAATGTTCAAAAACAAAATTTTTTTTAAAAGGAGCTCGTCATGCAATAGCTAGTAAAATAAAGAAGATTTGTGGTAAGTTTGATTTAAATCGGTTAAAAATTGATTAAGTTTTATGTAAATTCTTACCGGGATATTACATAATATTTCTCAAAGAAAACAAAAAATTCAATTTTTGAAACTAAAAAATCGATTTTCTCGAAAACGGCTCGATGAAAGATTTCAGGGGAGATTACGGTGATTTTGAGGTTTTTTCAAAGTTTTTTTTAGTAGTAAAAAATATTTATTAGTTACAATTTTCTTATGATAAAATATACATTTTAAAGAGTCGAAAACAATTTTTTTTAGTTTAAACCATCTAATAAAAAATGGCTGATGAAAGTGGTACATTTTAAAAGTTTGTCACACTTTTTCTGTGGAACAGTTAATCTAAAATGTAAAAGCCAAAATTTTTCTTAATCTATACTATTTTGGCTATCGTGTAAACTAGAATGAGAAATATTCATTGAAAAAAAACCGATTGGCAGACTTTTTTATTTTTCGACAACAATTTTGCAACTTATATTGTTTATAACTTTTAAAAATATTAATGGATTATAAAAATCCTAGTTTACACGAAAACTACACATGCAAGGAACATAGTATCTAAATTTGAAGTTAATTGGTTAAATAGTTTTAAAATGAGAGTGTGACAAAGTTGAAAATATGCAGTTTTGAGAAAAACGCGTTTAAAGTTTTTTAAGTAGAAATTAAGCAAAAAAGTGATTTTTACTCAATTGACAATACCGGTTACATACATAGATCCTTCTTTGGCTTCCAAAAGATTATTTTCAAGTAGCAGTGAGTGCCTCTGAGCCGTTTACTGCTAACCGATCGGAATAAACGCGTGCGTTCGCGCGCTCGGTGGGTTGTTGCATGTTGATACTCAATTTATATCAGTTTTAAACCATGACTATTTTAGACTTTAGATTATTTTTTCCGTGTTCTTAAATAGTCATAATACTAACCAAAAATGAAAAAAAATATAATTTCGAGTTTTTGAAAAAAAATCACCGTAATCTCCCCTTAAAATTTTTTTACAAAATACTCAGGAAAATGTCCAGATTCAAGATATGAAAGAAATTTTACAGTGAAAAAACTTTTGGGTTAAAGTGTGTTAACGACCACCGTGATGCAACATAAGTAGCAATTTTATATGTGGTCGTGAACGACGCTTCTTGAAAATCTTCAACCTCCCCTCCCTTCCTCCTAATATTTTACTAAAAATCAATGGTTGTTCAACCGTTCCTGGTCTCATTAATCAAATTATTTTTTATTTAATCTAATTGTCGATTTTACTTATTTCTTTTAATTTTTTTATTTATTTTACACGGAAAAAATTTTTTCATTATCATTATCTTATAATAATCTCTGTATTCATTCCTTCCTTCATTCATTCACATTTTCTTAGCACTTTAAATGACAGCACCTTTGGGTTAAATTGGTTTAAAACACATCGTATAGGTTTATTGTACCAACATTATAAAACTTTTGAATATTAACATTTATATTTGGAACAACATATGCTCGTAATCATGAAATTCTGAAAAATATGTCAAAATAAATTAAAAAATTGAAAGAAAAATTACAGGTAAATTATTTTATTTAAACATATATAAATATTTAAATAATCGTGAACGGAACCCTAGGGAAGCACTTGATAAATTTTTTTGGAATTTTTCTTTAGTAATTCGATTGAAAATTGTTAAAACTTAACGTATGGCTTACAGAATTTTTAATAATTTCAATCAATTTTATTATTTTTGAACAGATTACCGTGAAAGCGTCATTAGTCTTTTTTGAGAGAATCACCCAAATAACTTTTTTAAAGCAGAAAAATGAAATGGAAGATTTGTTTTGAAAAGTGACTTTACCAGGACTGAAATTTAAAGAAGGTTACCATGTCGAACATAAAAAAGTATTTTATTTTAAGTAATAAATATTTTATAATTCTTTTAATTCTTTCTTCTCTTTATTTTCTGTTCCCTGTATTCTAATAGTAACAAGTTATAAAAAGGAAGTCGTGGTATATTTTCCTATCTTATCTTAGAAAATATCAGCAATTAGAACGAAACGAACCCATAAATAAAAACAAGGCTCTTCAGGCTTTGGCAGTTTGGACCTCCGAGAACCTCTGAAATTTGGGCCATCTCAAAAGCCCGATGTATTGTTCTAATTATTTTTAATAATAATTATTTCAAAACAAATAATTTATTCGGTTCGTAAGAGAATAATAACCAAAAAGCCTCTCCCAATTTGTATTAAATAATTATTATCATTTCAGTCAATTAAATAGTATTTGTTTTAACCTTTATAGGACTGACGAGGTACCCGGGTACCTTTTGCATTTTCAAATTGATTTTTTTTCATAATTTTTAAAATCGTATCGACCTAAGGTTTTTTGACATCTCAAATTGATTTTTTTCATAATTTTTAAAATCGTATCGACCTAAGGTTTTTTGACATCTCAAATTTAACCATAAAAAGTGTTTTAATATTATTTATAATGTACCATTTATATTTATTTATTCAGAAATAATAAATAAAGTTTCTTCATGCTTAAAAGGCGGACAGGGTACCCGGGTACCTCTATACATTTCATGCAGATAAATGTAGAAATTTCTATTAAAAAATTATGTAAACTAACATTAAACAATTTTTTTCAAATTTTTATAGTAATGCACATAATTTTTTTTTAATTATGTAATTTAGTTACTATAGTTAAATAATGATATTCATAAGAAACTGTCAGTTTTTAACTTAAAAATTACCATAAAAATGAAGTTTGAATAGAATTAATTTATATTAAAAATGTATTTTAAATAATAAAAAATAGATTTCTTACATTTTTATATTTGGTTTCATACATAATCTGCCTGAATATGTACCTGTTTTGCAATCTAACAAATAGTATATACACGGATACTATTTAATGAAAGATCAATGAAATTGTGAATATATACAAAATACTTAATACGTAATGGGCAGTTTTTTAATAATCAACTACACGGGAAAAAATTTTGCGTATGAGCTGCACTGCCTACTGCGCAGCTGCAGCTCTGTAGACTCTGTGTTGACGCGGGCCAGTTTATGGGTAGGAGCCGTCCATACTATGAACGCACGATATCTGAAACGCGTAGACAGGTGATGCTCCTCGAGTCGTAACTCATAGCAGGGAATTCAACTGAACGATGATTCTTTCATTTTTGTACAAAGCGTTACCACTAGTGGGCAGCTCATGCGCAAAATTTTTTCCCGTGTAATAATGATAATTTTTTATTAGCAAAAAGAAAATCTTATTTTAAGATGAGTCTTAAAATCAGCGCTAGTAGTTATAATGGAAATTGCATTGCGTAAATTCAGCTAAGCTGCCTTAAAAATGTTGTCTTTTTAAATAAGACCTCTTTTCGGCCTTAAAATAAGACTTCTTTTTACAGTGTATTCATATTATGTGATTACTACTTTCATTGAAACGTCCACTACACTTAAAGTTAATTGAACTGCTTATTTTGATATAAAATCTTTAATACATTAAACATAGGTATCCGGGTACCTCGTCCGCCCATAGAAGGTGTTTTTTTCTTCAGTCCCATAAAGGTTAAATAAACAAATATTTAAATCAAATACTGTTTATTTAATTTAAATAAAAATTATTTTGTTCAAATAAATATTTATTTGATAGGGGTGTTAGAGCTATTACGGCTCGATAAAATCCTGCAAATGAGACTGTAAATTATAAAAAAATGTTTAATTGTTCTTTTTATGTTGATATACATTATGGTACGTAATTATATACGGAAAACGAAGCTTATTGACTAAGAAATTGGTGATCATCTGAAGAAAATTGGTTAAACCTCAGATTTTAGATCAGACGAATTTTAATGCAATAATTGATATTTAGAAAATGTTCAAAACATGTTGTTAATACTTGATAAATGAATATTGTATAGTCTAAATCCAATATAATAAAGAAACCGAAAATTTACTGATTTTCTATGACAATTTTAACATTCGGATTCTTTTAACTATCCTTGCCCCGGTACTTGGGCAAGGATAGTTAAAAATTTTTTTTTACTTTTTCATTCGTATCTCGTAGATATTGCACTCTTCAGCAAAATAATGTATAGCAAAATTATAGCCAAATAACCAGGCTTTCCAATAATACTACTCGTTTGCAGATACAAATTCAGGTTTGGTCGCTAGATTCGAACACGTCTTACCTAACTATTCATGCCCCATCCTCCCCTAATAATTAAATAACCGATTATTTGAATAAAGTAAGTTTTTTCAGTGTAATAAGAATATATATATTTTTTTTGTCATTTTCATTTAAAAATTATTCAAAATAGATACCAATTTAATTAAAATTGAAGTTCTATATTATTGAATTCATTTTGATAAGTTTGAAGAGAATTTTTGCAGTGTCTGAATGTCTGAATACATGTAACTTGTAGTTATTATTATTACGTATTCAGTAATGTATCAAGATTTACTAATTCTAAAACAAAACTAATAGTAAAAGATTAGCGTTTGAGAGAACAGGAACCACTTGATTCCCTGCGATAAGAAGTAGTAATACCTCTATTACGCGGAGAGGGTTAAGGACAAGAGTTACGAGCGTGGTGTATATACTCCTCAAACATTAAATTTTTTTCTATTCGTTTACAAAAGTTAGAAATAAGAAACTTTATGCTTTTCCGAAAAATAACAAATGTCAATTTTTTTCCATTGATTTTTTCCTATTGAAATTACTAACCTTTTCTTTTTTACTGAAAAATCTTCCAAGACTACTTTTAATACCCTTTTTCTTTTGCGCTGCTGCAACTGTTGCTGCAGTTATTGGACTAAGTGTCATTGGCATATGCAAATACGAACTAGTGAATTGTCCTGTTGGAAGTCCACTACTTAAACTATTCTTGTACAAACTATCCTGGCTGCTATGTCGTGACGATAAGGGAGAAGGAGTAGTTCCAGAATTGAGAGCTCCATTATTATGTTGACCATGCCTGAAAAAAGTAAAAAGTAAGTAAGTACAGTTTTTTGTAAAATGTGTTTTATAATAAAAACACAAAAAAAGCTTGTTGGGAAAAGAGGAAGATGATCAGAAGGAATCTTTCTTTATTACAAAATAATTGTGCGTGTCTGTATGTATATAAATATGCAAGATCTTAAAATTGTAAACCATCCTAGGCAAGAAAAACCAATGCTGACGATGGATTGAGGCTTGATTGTAGATTGAACGCCCAGCGTGGGTAACCCAGACTGGAAGCAGCCTTTATACAACTCTCGATCAAAATTGGTTCAAGATTGGTTACCAATGCTCGTCTCATGCTCGATTTAAAACTAGTTTAATCCTCATGAGCAAAGCCTGGAAATCCAGTCTTGATTCAATCTTGAATCAACTGTCGACTTAATATTCGCAGCTTAGTTCAATATTTTAAATATACTTCAATATCATAAATTATGTTGTATAGAATATAATTATATAAAGTAATTATTTACATACTTTCAATACAAATTTATAAATAATATATTTTTTTACAATTTAATATATTTTGCTTCCTCGTGGAGGAAGCTATGTAGTCCTTTCGTTTATAAACTTTTTAAAAAAGGTCAAAACAAATTTTCCTCTATATAGAAACATGTTATATGAGATCCTGATCAATTGTCCGGATGTATGTATGTGTGTGTGGATCGTTTTTGTGAACACGATCTCTTTAACAGGTTTTAATGGATTTGGATAAAATTTGGTATGCTTATTTAACACATTAATTTCTCAAAAATGACGAGAGGATTTTTAAAAATACCCCCCAAAAAAAATTTTATCGTCTTTTTCCAAAATTTTTTTTTTAATTGAAAAAATTTTTAAATCGAAAAATTTAAGGTAATATATAAAGTATAGATTTGATCTAAATTTAAGGAATAAATGAAATTTAAAAAATTAAAAATTTACATTTTAGCTAAAAAATTTTGTGTTTATTTAAATTCAAGTTTATATATGAAATAATTTTATTCCTTGCATTGAAACAAATCAAGTAGTATATAGAAAGTATACATTTGAATAAAATTAAAAAAATTAATGAAATTTAAGAAATAAAAAATTTACGTCTTAGCTAAAAAATTGGGTTTTTATTTAAATTCAAGTTTAAACATAAAATAATTGTATTCCTTGCATTGAAACGAATCGACTGGTATGTATAAAGTATACATTTGCGTTAAATTAAAACAATTAATGAAAGTTAAAAAATAAAAAATTTACATTTTAACAAAGAAATTTTGTGTTTATTTAAATTCATGTTCAAATATAAAATAATTGTATTCCTTGCATTAAAACGAATCGATTGCTGTATATAAAGTTTATATTTGATTTAAATTAAAAGAATTAATGAAGAACTAATAAAAAGAAAAGATTGCTATTTTTTATGCGAACAAGTTCTCGTACAAGAACTTGTTCCAAATTCTGGTGCCGAAATTGTACAAGATCTTGTACATGTTCTCACCAGAACAGATACAAGTTCAGCTGCTGAACATGTACATTTTCTTGTACAAGATCTTGTACATGGTTTTCAATAGGGAGGATTGGTATTTAGCCAATGTAATATTTAGCCGATTTATTATAATGCAAGGAATACAATAATTTTATGTTTAAACTTGAATTTAAACAAACACAATTTTTTTATGTTTATTAATTTCAGTGTTAATGCTTCCTCCAGGTGGAAGCAAATTTTTTGCATCATATAATGAGGAAGCAAAATGTTCATGAAATGAACATAAAGGACACCCTACTTGTTATAATTAGTAATTAATATTATTGAAATTAATATATTGCTGTTAATAATAATTTCTTTTAAAAAATTTTGTTTTTTTAGATTATACACGGAAAAACTTTGTGCAAGAATTATTCCTAAACTTGTTCAGGAACTGAGGATATGAGAATAATTTAAGAAATCTTATTTATATTTTCTTTGAAAAATTCTAAACAGTATTTCTATAAGAATTGTAGAGAAATTCAAGACAACTTCCTAAACTCACTACAGAAAGTCTTGAACTTGTTTTAGAATAAATTTTTACGTTTGCGAGAAAAAAAATTTACTCTGGGAGGACTCGATCCCACGACCTCGAGAGTCCAAAAACTCCGCTTTACATCTCTCAGCTACCTTAGCAGCTTATGGTATTATAAATTGGAAACGTATTTGACGCAACCAATCCCTGCCTAGTGCTTGGTTACTGTACTGTGTCTTCTAAAACAGTTCAAGAAACTTTCAACGCCAAGTGACTGAGATACTCCGATCGCGGCATTAACAAGAAGTCTTCCAATGTCATAATAAAAATACAAGTATTTTCTTGAATGATTTTTCTATTTTTCTGTAAATTTTGCAGAATTTTTCTCATATCCTCAGTTCCTGAACAAATTTAGGAATGATTCTTGAACAAAGTTTTTCCGTGTAGGTATTATAATAATTTATCATCTTTATTATGTATTATTACAATATTATATATTATAATAAACTTATAATATTGTAATAATTAAAGAATTATTATTTAATTCACTCACAACTTTCATTAAAAATTTGCATATTTTAATTTTCAACGACATTAATAACAACGCAGCCAATTAATATAAAATATATATAATGTATCTTTATAGTACTCTGTACGAATGGGCTTTGCCCGTATATTTTTAATAAATAAATGCATTATAAAAATGATAAATCAATATAACGAAAAAGACAATATTTAGTATAATTATATTTTCAAAAATATATTGAATATATTATGCTGTTATTTTATATTTTTATTGTATTTATAAGTGGGGTAAAATTCCTGTAGCGAACTAAGTAAAAAAAAAAGTTGATCGGATCGGGCTGTAACTTCGTTTAGCCCTAGGGGTGAGATATTAAACACAAAGTATTGTTCGGTTTTTTCAAAAACTGTCGGAGAGGGAGAGGGTTGAATTTTTTTGAAAAATTTAAACAGTGAATTTTTGAAGACTTGTAACTTTTAAACAGAAAGAAGAAGAAAAATTTGTCCCATATGTTTTCGAAAGGTTTTTTCTTGCTCTTTCGAATGGTGCAAAACTTTTTTTAAAAAATTCAAATTTTGACCCTATTTTGAAAATTAAACATTTTTTCGAATTTTTTTAAGCCCAGTCCTTTTTATTTTTTTTATATATTTATTTTCTTGAAAGCTAAAAATGTGTTATTTCACCACAAAAAATTTTGAGATTTCCTTTTTTGTTATTTTCGAGATATTAATTAATTAATTAATTAATGTTAATAAAAAATAAAAAAATATTTCACAAATAAATAAAGTTATTGCAATTCTGAAGATACCAATTGAATGCTGACGTAATTCCGCATCCAACGAGCCCTATACGGACTATTTTGGATTAGAGGATTTTTTATAAATAATTGCCATGTTAACCAATTGTTTATTAACAATCCACTATCCCAAAGTACTTCATATAGGGCTCGTTGGATGCGGAATTTTGTTACAAGTCTTCAAAAATTCACTGTTTAAATTTTTCAAAAAAATTCAACCCCCTCTCTCTCCGACAGTTTTTGAAAAAACCGAACAATACTTCGTGTTTAATATCTCACCCCTAGGGCTAACCTTTGTGCTAGTTACAGCCCGATCCGATCAACTTTTTTTCACTTAGTTCGCTACAGGAATTTTACCCCAAGTATATAAGTTATTAATTTAATAAAAATAAAAGTTTATAAATTTGTGATAAAGTCTTTTTGTTCCATTAATAAAAAAAATTTAAATATAATTTATTTAAATTAACAGCAATATATAAATTGAAATAATATATGTTTTACTTTTATTAATAATAAAAGCAATGGATAAAGCTTTTATATAAATAAAAATAGTTTTAAAATTATATTTAAAATATATAAGTAATTTAACGATAGAAACATTTTAAATTTAGCATAAAGGCATCACCGGTATTAACAGATTGTTGGCAACTAGACAGCGTGGCCGCGTGGTAAGCGTAGTAGGTTTGCGAGCGTTAGGTCGTGGGTTCAGTGCCCAGTGCGAGCGAGATTTTTCAAATTAGATTAGGTGTCATTTCGACAGGTGTTGTTAATTAATCTTAAGTGATGAAACAAAAATAGCAAAAAAAACTTATGATTACATTAATTAAATAATAAAAAATAATAATAATGTTTTTTGAAATTACTAATAATAATAATTAAAGGAAATAAGTTGTCTTGACTTAAGATTCCAATACAACTTATCTCCTTATTATTAATAAATTAAAATAATATTATTAATGAATACTAATGTTGTTTTAATTTTATCTGTAAATATAATAATACGTAATATTAATAGAATTATTATTTTATTATTATTATTATTATTATTATTATTATTATTATTATTATTATTATTATTAAGAATTATTGAACGCGAGAATAGTATAAGTAACACTGGAAGCAGTCTTGACTGAGCTAGAATCAGAATTTGGCAAGATTAATTCAGTCTTGGACGCCAATGCTCAACCCAGCCTCAAGCGTCAGGTTTAGATCGGTGTTACATTCTAGACTGGAGCAGCCTTACTTCCGCTGTCTCACCAAGGTATCAGTCAATATTGACCAATGCTCAGCCAATCTTTACAAAGCCTTAACTCATTGTCATTTCGAGCCTGGGATAGGTCTCAATTGTTGAGAGTTAAGTCTCAATAAAATCTCAATATTGAGTTTCAAATCTCTTGATCGGTATAAAGTTTTATTTCTTAGGTTTCAAGATCAAGTCTGATGTCCATAGTCCTAATATTTTTAGTCTCAAGTAAGGGTCTCAATTCCTAAACATTGAGTTTTGTCTAGAGTCTCAGTTTTCAAGAATAAAGTGCAAAATGTAGATTATAAAATATGAATTCACTTCTCAACTATAATTTTTCAACTTTATAGTCTCAATTGAGAGCTCTAAATTTTTCTAAAATAATATTTAAGTATTTTAAATATTTAACCATTTATTATTGATATAAATATAAATTATTATT